CTTCCACATTAGATTTTCTGCGCGGTTATTTTCTCAATAATAATTAATTGATTTAATTAATTGATTAATTGATCCGAAATAGCAATTTTATAATTGTTTTTATTTTTCACTTCCGCTCTCCAGTTTTTAGGAGAATTCTTCGAAAGAAATTTCCCTTATGTGATGGTTTTCTACGTCCGTCCGTCTGTTCCTAGTCTAAGTCGAGAACGAAAAGGGACATCGATGTGAAACCTTTGCCAGTCGGGTTCGACTAGTTCAAGGATGAGTGCTATCGAGCCGGATTAAAAGTTGTGTTTCCGAATGCGAACCGAGTGAAAAAAAATTTTTCTACTAAAAATCGTATGCTATTCTTCCGACCTTCCTATATCTTGTTTTTTGGGTGCGAGTACACCATTGACCTAGCACCTTTGCAGAAAACGTGAATATCAGTCTAAAACTAAACAAGTGTGACATTTTTTGTCGATTTAATTAAAATGCATGTACTTATAAAGATGCCCCCCCCCCCCCATAAAACAAAATTTATATCCGAAAACTGTTATTACTTTCCTAGATGAATCACCTGACCTGTTGGCCTGTTGGTACAGCTTCGAAGAGGAAAGAAAAATGGTGTTAAAAATCCATGCTCATAGAAAAGGGTTCCAAGAGATAAAAGAAGATTAAAAAAGTGTCACGGAACGTAACTCCAGTTTCCATGATAGAAAATATTTACCTCAACATCCCTCGAACTGCTGTCATAGTCTTATTATCCGAACCCCGAAACTCATCCACAACACGTTTAATACCAAGAACAAGAGAGAAAGTTGCAAGGATGACGAAATGGTTGCGGAAGATGCTATCGATACATTGATCCAACCCAAAATATTGCACCTACGGCACTTTTGTTCCGAGCAAGCCATGCATGATACGCAGTCTGTATTGGCACTACAACTGTTCAGCGACAATCATTGTACTTACGATAGTCCCGAATCAAGCTATAGGTTGTACACTCGGAGTCGAGTCAATCCTTGGTAGTTTGTTAAAATTTTCGATGACTCGACCAATTTGACATGAGGAGTTAATACACACAAAGCACTTAGTTCTTAGATCTACACACTTCTAATCGATAAAATAGATTGTACCTACATACAATATTCCCACAAGTATTTTTAAGTTTTAAGTTTATTAAGTAAGCGAAAAGAACTTACCTGAGTACTCTTGAGTTTTCAAAGATGAGTAAAAAACAGTATTATAACTATTATAAGCTTATAACGCTCTAGACGCTTCACGTGTAAAAAACTGCTACGTTTGGCGGTAAATTTCAACGGTTTTTCATACTGCGTTGTCACGTTTCGTTCTATGACCAATGGCGGCTCGTCCTAAAGTGCGCAGGCGCACGTCCCCACTCAATCGCCAAGATAAACGGCGGAAATAAATCAGCATGTCAGGCAATGAATTATTTTTATTTGGCATACGTTTACATTGTATTTATTATCTCTCTCTTGTTCTGGGCCCTCAACAGGCTTGCGCCCAATTACAGAATACAGGGTGACCCGCATAATGCTTTTTAGAGGTGCCTCTGCAGAAGGTCTTCAGTTGTTGTATACTACTCTGGTATTTAGCTTACGAACTAGGAAAACCTAATTTGGAGTAGCCGCTATAACGCTTGATATCAAACTTTCCTTCCATCCGCTGAAAACTATTTTCCGGGCACATCCACTCGGTGCTCCAAATGCGAGTAGGATTTGCTTCATTTGCTTGACTTCGGTTATCTCCGCTTACATAGATGTGGGGCACCGAACTGGTGTGTCCCAGTACACGTTCGGGGGCGTTGAATCTTTTTTCTTCTTCTTTTGCCTTTCCACACGTATTTATGCATGTCACTTCATCTGAAGCGCTTGCAACACAATATGAAAGGTCTACAGGTGTTAAAGTGGGAGAACTATCCAACACAAATTGTTAGGTGTAATATAAATTGGAGGGTCACAGATACCTCCAATCCTCACATCATCAGCCAATGGTTGTTCATTATTCGATAGGTATTTAATGGAGAAATTTGCGTCTGATAACAATAAATCGAGTAACTAATATAAATTATCCCTCAAAGTTAAGTATGACGGGGATCTTTGGGGGTAAGCACAAGAAAGATTTAAAAGGCAGGCTTTTTTAAACTTCATTTGGAGACAAAGGTTGGTAGATTGCAGAACTGTCTCGATCCTTTCTAAATCTTCTTCGTTTGACTAGCTTTAAAAACGATTAAAGTCTAAGAAGCCGCGGAGAAGATCTAGAAGATTCCAAAATCTCTGCAAAGGACTGAAAAATTATCGAAATGGTTTGAAAGTTCTGAAAAAAAATGCTTTCCAGGGCATCGCATAGTTTGCAAAGATTTCCATGTTTCAGAGGTCTCTGGGTACTTTTGCAGCATTTCCTATGCTCAGCTCAGAAAAAGATATAGGTGTATGCGGGTAGGCGAACAACACCAACAAGTGTTGAGTGTACCTAAAAAAGGGCGCCCGGAAACAATGTGGAGGCACCAGAGCACTCTGGGAAATGCTGAAATCTCCCTAAGAAAACGTTCCAGAGACCTTCGACGTCTTACTCGAATATCCTAATGTTTTTCCGAAACTGCCAAAATCCCTAGGTCCTTTCAGAGTATTTTAAAAAATTTTCAGAAATATATAGTCCTCTTTAAAAAGGTTCTGAGATTTTTCCAGAACTTTCTACGCATTTTTCCGGAAAATATGACGTGTTTGTTCGAGAACAAGCGTTCGGGAGCACTCGAGAACTTCTAGAACGATTGTTTGCTATATAAGCAAATCGAATTATGCTTCAAGTTAGTTTCGACATTGATGCGCTTGCGTTGTTATAAATAAATTGTGAGTGTTAAATGATGATCAACTGTTATAAATTAATCCATCTGTTACATACATTCATTGTTAAATATTTGTAAATAAATAAATCACGTAATTAAATTTGCGTTATACTAATTCTCTGCTATTAAATGTGGAACAATTAAAAAGTATACTTATAGAAGCGGTAGATGGGATCACAGGGAACATTTTTTTCACATAAACTGAGGGTTTAAAATACTTGATTGGAGAGCTTCGTAGGCCCCCAAACGTTTGCGTCATTTTTTTCTCGGTAATCATAACACATTGAATGTTGAAACTAACGGCTTCAACTCGGTTTTTGAGTATGCTTGTTTACAGGCTTTTTGAGATGAAATTCCCATACGTCCAACCATTCCCCAAAGATTTATCGCAATCGAATGAACGGTCTAGGAAGCCATATTCGCCATACATACGGACAGACAGACAGACAAATTTCATTTACATAGAAACCTTCGCGGGTATATATGTCCAACCATTCCCCAAAGTTTCATCGCAATCTGCTGAACGGTTTAGGAAGCCAGAAGCGACATACAGACGGATTTTTATGTAGACACTTTCGAGGGCAAACGTCCAAGTTTTATCGCAATCAGATGAACCGTTTAGGAAGGCATAAGCGACATTCATACAGACAGACAGGCAGACAATTTTTATTTATATAGAAACCATGGTGGGTAGATACTGTACTATATTGGACATATACAGTGGTATTTATTAAGAAGTAGACATAGGGATTTATGTGTATTGTTTTTCTCTATATGTACTTTTAAAAGACAAAATCTCTGAAGAGTGCCTAATTTTATGCATCCAAAGTAACTTTTTAAAACAAACATCTGGCTGCCATATATTAATTAATTTGAATATTATTGCTTTGGCTTTACAGAAAATCAAGCTCTTACGCTCCTTAAACTGTTGCCGACACTATTTATTTTATCTTATTTATTTTAAGTAGTTATTTTGGTTGCATAAAAATAGGCACCCTTCAACAGAGGACCCGCCTCCTTTTATTCATATTCAAGATGGCGGTCGTATTCGAAACACCCTGTATAAAAAATTCTTTTTAACCTCAAAATATGTGAAATAATTTCAAATGGAATTTTCATGTCTAAACCTCAAACGTTTTGAGCGCGGGAGCGTCCGTTCGATCTTTAATAGCGACCCTGTATAAATACAGACCGCGCGCTATAGCATGGGGAATAACGGCATAGACCGAGTATGACATCGGCAACTGCCGGGAACACTTGTCGATTGAGATCCCTATCTACGATTGAGTGTATCATACTATATTTTAGTATCATGCTCGTTATCATGACTCGTTCACTGGGCATCTAAACCTCTCGCCATCCTATAGCGCGAGGCCTGTAGCTAGATTTCTGGTTCGAATGCAGCTGTGGATGAGAGGTTTGGATGCTGAGAAGCCTTGGCTGAACCTTTTACAATTCAAAACTAAGACAAAAAATGAAATAAAAAGGAAATAAACATTTGGGGCATCTGTATAATTATGTATTTACTAATTCTGCTTTTAAAGTGTTACCATCATCTTCCCTGATTTCTTTTTTTCATCTTTTTCATACAGCTCCTCTATTTAGGTCGCTTTATTAATCCACATGAGCAGCTCAAAATCAATTCTACCTACCTATTTTAAAATTCAACTTTTATCTTTGAATGGATATTTTTTTTTAAATTTATTTATTATCTTCGCACTTGCCTGAACCACTAAGAGCGTTCAGGTAAATTCACGTGTTAAAGAGAACTTACATTGAAGTGAGGCTGGGGGGATCTAATGATAATTTTGGGTGCAAAGCCAACTTGCTTGTGTGTCCTAATGTAATCTTCAGTTCATGCTTTGTAGTCCTCTTTTCTTTAGCTTAAGGTTGAGATGCAGTAGTTACGACAGCAGCAGGTTCACAATTCTGACTAAACAGCTAATCCTTTGAGGAAAATCCAGTGAAAACGCTATAGCAAATGTATACTTATTTTTCACACCGTACCCATTTGCATCTCCAACTAGTCTGTAGTCGTGGCTTGATCACACATTCATCATTTGATGTGTTGAAATGGTCGATTTTATCTGAATGGTGTGTCCTCTGACTTTGATCAGTTTGAGTTAGGCAAATAAGGACATAGATACGGACAATTCTTTATTTAAATATTAATCAATACTTTACAACTATTGTAGCCATTCAGTAAAGCAGTTAGTAAGGTGCAACAACAACAACTGTTATAACTTAAATATGACAAAGAAAAACACGACTAAACTTAAGTATCTTTCCTTACTATATAGAGTGGAACTGGCACAAAAGTTGGGTGGCAAAGGAACGTAATACGAACATTAAGTAAAGCAATTCAAAAACAACTCTTATAAACTATTACAAAGAACAACGCAACTAAAATATATTTTCTTACTATACACAGTGTAACAGGCAGTCACAAAAATTGGGCAGCAGAGGGGTGTAATATGAACTTTCTCCAAACAAACCAAAGTAACGTAAATTATAAACGAAGGAAGGTAAATGTGAGTTGATCATTTTGACACTGTTGCAAAATTGGCGTTCCTTTAATTCGTTTCACACAACCATAAGACAGTATGCTATTTTCCATTTTGCAAAGATTTCTACCCACGCTAGGGTGCGAAAAAAATGGCGATGAAAGAGATAAAAGGAAGGTTTTTAAAAATAAATAAAAAAATTTTGGAATTTGTTCAGATTTCCAGAATTTCTTCAAAGTTTAAATATTTTTCTCAGCCTATTAGGGGTGAGAATTTTTATACAAAGTCGGATCGAGCACATCCAAAAACCTATGTAATATTGTTAGCTACATCTTACATGTTATGGTTGTTGAGAAAAGATTAAGTGAGACCCAACAGAAACATTTCGACCATCCCTACCATCCTATATAGTTTGTCATACCTTTACATCATGTATATTGGCAATAAAGTGAAAGAACTAAACATATATGTAATTCCGTACATTTATAGGGTGTTATTCCAGTGCGCAGGCTGCAAATTACAATAGTACGCAATGACCACGGCGAGCGGACTGGCGTTTGAAAAAGGCCTAATACCGATTTGCTTATGCCGTATTCTTAGCATGCGGACAGCTGTAAACATAAGCTTAAAACTATTACGTACATAAACATTCTGTTTACCTTGAGTTTCCGAGCGCAATACAAGCAAAGCACTCGTATCATCACACCATTTGATGTATAGGGGTCGCTCCGAATATATGTTCCTGATATAATTTGTCTTCTGTGTAGGGCTGATGTTGTATAATTCGACAATATAATTCATGTTATATCGTGGGCTAATGAAAGGTGCAAAATTTTGACCCGCTAAGACCATAGTTGCACCATCTTTCACATACTCTTCGATCTGTAAAGGAAACACTATGTGTTTGCACAGCTCTTCGAACTTACTTACTTCTCGACTTTCTTCTAACCAAAATGAAACACAGTTTATTTTAGCAACGAAATCATTAATTACAATTCTGCTTGGGCAATTAAGGTGATAACGCTTACGTATGTGCGGTTTTGGAGTTGCAGACATAAACATGGAAGCCGGCACAAATTCCTCGGCCAAAGGATTTAGTTTACTCTCCTTCTAAAAATAACATGACTAACGTTAACAACATTTCTCCTAACGATTGTATTGGTTATACGTACTACCAAGTTTTCCACATCAGTTTCGCTGGAACTGCTGTCTTCGGGATCTGCGAGTTGTTTTTCTAAGGTGGTAAATTGGTACGTACAAGAGTTCCCGCAGAAACATCTTAGTTTAGAATTTCTCCGACCTCCACAGAAATACCATGCATCCATCGGATACCCTCCACCTATGGCGGAATGGCACATGTGTAGAGTCCTAAAAATGATTGTATGTAAAATCTAGCGCTCTCTAACTGGACAATTTATAATAATAATAATGTCTTTATTTCAGAAAAGGCGCAGTTCGCTCTTCCACTTAACCTGATAATATATAATATAATATAAAATAAAGCAATTATAAAAATAAAACTAAAAGATACTCCATGACAGTGACATGGATTCTCCAATATTATATGAATTACTGAACGAACAACAAATATCTCTTATATTTTATTTTAAAGGAAGGTAATGAAAGTATTTTTAAATCATTAGGTATTGAATTATTCTTTTTTTTTTTATTGCCTTTATTTTATAGTGAGCGGAGTGTTAGCTAATTAGCTATTCTCCCCACTCAACCCACTATACAATCACAAACAGCCACGCCTTACCTGGGATTCGAACCCAGGACCCTTGTAGCCAGAGCTAGAGCTACTAACGTAAACTCATCTGAGCTGAGCAGGTTTTCAATTTAACAGGAATGATCTCTGAAAGTGTTGTGGAGTGCATAGGTATAATGAAGTTGTCCAAATGCCTGAGATTTTCTATGTACAAATAAATTTCTTAATAATTTGGAAATAGAACATGCGACTTCCTCATAAATCTGTAATTTTTGCATGGAATAGGGAATGTTAATGTGTAACATATCTCAACTGAGCAACTACAGAAAGTGGAAGTACAAAAAGATTCGGCAAAGCGTTCGTTACATGAAAAATCCAAACCCCCATTATTACCGCCCACCTAATTTAGAGATGAAGCGAGTGTTACAATTAATTGAGGAAGTTTGAGGAAACCCACGGTTTAAAATAGATAGAGGTGCATGAAGGCATAGTAGTGCTCGATTCAACCTAAGAAAGAGACGGCAAACTTTGCTGCCGATATGGAGCGTTAAGGAGTTTTCTTACGAAAATCACGGTCCCACGCCCATTTATTTCAGAACGTAGGGCGAGATACGCAAAAAATGTGTATAAGATAAATTGTAGGGAACTAAATTTCCCACAAAGAATTCCGTGAGCTTCCACTGTCTTTGAATAGTAACCATTTAAATGAGCAGATATATTTTCGTGTTGATTTTTGAGTGTTTATAATACGTAAACACAATAATAATAATAATAATAATAATAATTTATTTCATGCTATTGTACATAAAGTACTTACATATCGGCATTCATTATAGGTACGATTACAATTACGTGGTCTATCATTTGCGCAAAAATGTACGAACAGTGCAAAATGCGAATATTAATGGATTAAGGAAAAGATACTCTTTTTAATTTAAAAACGATTGATTATCGACATATGTTTTCGCGGACTTTTTTTCCGTGATTTTGGTAAGAAAACTCCATAAGACTGATCCTATATTTTCCATCTTTATTTTAAGTAAATAAAACTGCAAAGTATCTTGACACCGCGTAACAAACGTACTGATACGTCAGCACAGATTCAGAAGGACAGAATTTGGTGGTAAACTGTACTTCACCTGCGAAATCACATAATACAATTAGATGAAGAACCACTAAGGAAAATAGTAAGCTTTCTATCAAATTAACACATTCTTAGTAGACTTTGTACACCCTATTGGTTGTTGGTGCATGCTGTTTCACGTGTGTAAATTAAATGTTGTATCACAAACGTCAATAAGTTTCTCATTATTATTACAGACAATCGAGAAATAGCAGACCAAGAAACGGAACTCGAAAGTGAAAGTGAAAACAAACCAGAGAAGTTGCAGTCAATCATAGGCATAAGGAAGACAGTGAATATGGAATTTATTAAGAGTCCATCAATATGTCTGCGAATACTGAACTCTAGTCCAATACTAATTCTGTAGAAAAATGGACAGATCAGTGTGAGAACCAGGTCATTGCTTTGTTAAGTGCATATGAAAATATACTGAAAACAAGTTGGTTTGGTATCGGCCGCTTGAGGTATTTGATGTTAACCAAAGCACTTACTTGATGAATACGATTCCCTGAGTAAAACCAGCAAATATAAATTTTGGAAAAAACTGAACTGTAAAGTAGTACTTACTGTATATGGCTTTGGCCATTCATAATCAATCTTGCATAAGCAGACATCAGGGTATCATGAAGCTTTGCCTGAACGTGGTTCCTGTCAATGTTGGGGTCTGTCGTATTTCGGTATGGTAACCTGAAACAGATATACTTAATCGCTACAAAGACAAACAAATTGCTTCTTTTTACCGCAAATGTTGTTGCCGCACCACAGCAAGCATCCCATCTTGAAGGAAGAGAGTAGTCATATTGAATAACAGAGCAATATACTTGATCGCACTTTTCATGTTTGGTGGTATGTCAGGTGGGAACAATAGTACACTGAAAAAGTACACTTAAATGTAGGGCCCCTATAATTCATTTGTCATGCTTACGTTGGCGTATCTGACTCAGTCAAAAAGTTCTGTATGAAATGGGTGATTTCTATTTCAATTATTTGTCCAGGACTAAAAATCTGTGTGTCGTCAACCGGGTTGAAAATAGGACTCGACGTCTGCATGTCGCCAGCCATGGTGGGAAAAGGATTAAACGGCATGTTTGTACCCACGGTGAGAACTTTCAATCTGTAATGTTACAAACACATGTATATTTTGTGCCATAATAAGATTTAGAGATGTTGAAGTACAAATTCTTCACTTCACTTGTAGGAAGTGTTAATTAATCAATCAGTGTATGAACAAGAGTTTTTTTAAGTACAATAAGTAAGAGTGCCAGATTTTTAATACACTTCGAAAGTCAGTGATGCCATTAAATTAGTGATTTTTTAGATACAACAAAAACAGGAAATTGTATTGCTTAAATGAAAGACTCGTCCAAATCCAAATGTAGTAGATTGTCGTAAAGTAGTTTTTTGTTGTTGCCACTAGAGGACCAAGTATCGTAATTTATTGTCACGAGTTACTAATGAAAGACAGGGTGAACTTAAATTGTTTTTAGTGAACAGTGTTTCAGAATGTGATAAATTCAAATTGTTTTGACGTTGATCCTACTGTACAGCATTTAATTATGATGTTCGAATCCGGGTTCAGGCATGGATATTTGTAAATGTATAGTGGGTTGGGTGGGTAGAGCAGCCTTGCCTGAAACCCCGCCCACTCAAAAATAAATAAATATTTATTGCAACTGTTATTTTTTGATCAAGCCGTTTCGCTTTTCGAAGTGGAACTCGCACACACTATAAATCAAACTGGGGAACAGTGGTCAACCATCAACTTTGAACCAGTTGAAAACACATGTCTGTGATGTGGGAATACAAATACATTATAGTTATTAACCTCCCATGAAATCAATTACTGAAGTAAATATCAATGCGATGATGATCTGAAGAAACTGTGGTTTAAAATCTTGCGTTAATTACTTATTTTTCAGTAGAATAACTACCGAGCCAAAGAGAGAGGAGTTATCAACTGATGGTAAAACGCAAACCAAGGCAAATTGAAAAAATCCAGAGAAACGTCGTGGTAAGTTGAGTTATTTTTGATTTATTGATTGATTCTAAATAGGAATGACACAAATTGCGGATAGGACATGGTTTGGTTTCCTGTGGTAGATGCAGTTCCTCGAAGTCCAACTAATCCATTGATATCGCCAACCAATCGTTGAAAATATTTCCCAACCCAAAGATTTCAGGGCCTACAATCTTTTGTTTTTGAGTTATGGGCAAAAGTTGCAGTTTTCGATCACTAGATAAAAGCTTATAATTTCTTTTTATTAAATTAGCGCCCCAAGAGCTTGCTCCGCTCTGGCTACGGTCCTGGAAGTGTGGTTTATTTCGTCCCTTTTTGATCTGGGGTAACTCGTCTGTATAAATGGTCTGAAATTTATTCCCATTCCCAAATACCGATTTTCAAAATTCGAGAAATAGAAAAATGGCAAGATGTACCCGTCCGTAGCTCCTATTTTACGAAGTATCGAAAAATATACAGGAGATTATTTCCCACATATTTGATACATTTAGGGCACATTTTTCGGTGTAATTCGAGTGGGATTCGCGGGATTGCAGAAATTAACGATTAGTAATGACATTCCTGAGTAAAAAAAGATGGGCTTCTCTCATTCCTCCATTACACGCATTTGCTTATTTGACAGTTTTTTTTTAATTGTGGCAATTTTTGCGTACTTTCCTAATATTGTGTCATTAACCTGAACACCTAGTGGACAAGGTCAGAGATCATCTTTCACATGAAACCACATTACCTAGTTTTTTTGGACAGTTAGTTTGGTGATCTGAAATTATAGTTTTGTTATTACCTTTATGGATTACTTCCTGTTTTCTCTTTATTTATGCCAATGGCGTTTTAGCAGAAAATATGAATTAAGATAAAATGAACCAAATGTGAGCCATGTTTCTTTGTTAAATCTTGAATAATGCTGACTCAATTAAAAATAACATACATACCTACTATAAAATTTTGGCAAAAATGTAAGAGATCCCATGGAAGTAAGGGTCATTGACCTCTCACATACCAGTATCACAATTTTCTTGAGGGATTGCATTCCATGGGGATAGGTACATGGTACCCAATTTTTCATTTAAAATTTTTATGTATCGTATAGCTTCGAAGAGGGAAGACGAAGAAAAACTTTTAAAAATTCATACTTACAGATCAAAAAAAAAGTGTCGCAGAAAAACATATCAACTCGGTTCACGGGATAGAAAACACCTAACATTGAGAGCATGGCATAACTCCGCAGCAAAATACGTATAGTAAACTTAGACACATCGCGACAATAAAAACTATTTTAAACGAAGAAAGTTGCAATGGTGGAAAAATAGTTGCCGATGGTATCAACAAGAGGACTCGTGTCCGATCGATGCATTAATCCAACCTTACAAGACTACTGTGCATAGCAAGCAATACAGTCTGCGGCATGCAGCGATGTATATCGATACAATGATCCAGCTCACATGCTATATACGGTCACTCCATGCGTCGACTCCTGTTAATTTCCTTTTATACACATTTTAAATGCACAAAAATGCCCTGATTACTTTTTTAAAGTCGGTAAATAGAAAAACTCCCATTAATTTGCAATTTTTCCTGTATAGACAATGAGGTGCACCATGTTTGTCACCTCAACCAGTTCTTTAAAATGAAATCCACATATACTAGACAATTCTAATTAACAAAATTGATTGTTAACAATAGCTACACATATTTTACCTCAATGCAAAATTGCAATTTGACACAAAAGACCTTACCTGAGTCTGTGAGGTGTAAAAAACGTAATGCCGGCCGGAACGTGGTCAAGACAGTTTGGAAGTAGGAACCAACAAAATGCATGCTGGGAAAACAGCCTGCTTTACCAACATAAACATAACCTTAAAACTTGGTTCTGGGAGCGAATTAAATGCATATTATACACTCGCAACTCTAACAGTTCGTTTAAAATTGAGTAGGATATGAAATTTTAAGTTAATAGCAACCTATTATATCTCAATATTGAAAAAATTGCAATTAGAAACAAAGTCTTACCTGAGTTTTTGGCGCGTGAAAAACGAAATTGCGTAACCAAATGCATCCTGGGAAAACAACCTGTTTTACCAACATAACCTTAAAAACGTCTGTTTTGGGAGCAAATTAAATGTATGTTATAGACTCGCGACTCGAAGAGCTAGTCTAAAATGTATAACCAATGGTCTAGGATACGAAATTTTAGGTTTAAATACCATGGCGGTGAATTTCAATTTTTACGCTCATTGCAGTCTTGCCACGTTTCGTTAGAAATCAACTATTTGGCAACAGCGTAGATAAATGGCGACTTTAACGCAAAATGTCTACCTATTCAACGGTAAAATATAAAAAATTAATCGAGCAGCACAGTTCTAACGAGCCACGCGTTCAACTCTCCCTTTAAAATGTTCAAATTGGCGTTTCTTCTTTAATTTTGTTGTCAGGAACTCGAACACATCAAAAACCTAGGTTTTTAGGTGTCTACCTATATTCTCTCAGATTTTGTATATAGCACTAAATTTCTCCAGGATGGCTCGTTCAAACAAGCAAACCATGCACGGCGGTGTTTTTTGAAAACGCGTTTTTTGAGAAAGGGTTTACTTAAAAACCAATGCAGCCGCTTTTTCCATCTGTTACGATTAAGGTTGCTGAGAAAATAATTTAATAAATTTTGGCCACATAAACTTGAACCTAGAAAAAAGCGTGTTTCGGTTCCCCTTACCACCGCTTTAAGAAATTTTGCTTTTGAATTATATAAGTAGCGTGTTCTTATACCTATCTAGTTTACCTTTTATATATATTAATAAAAATCAGGTTTTCTGATGATTTTTGAGTAAAAAATGCAAAAAAATTATTTTATTTACTTTACTGCTTAGGTACTATTTACTTTATCTAAGATAAGAATGAACAGCATGGGGAAATCGGAAACCATAAGAAATATACAGTCGGTTAAATTAGAAAAAAGTTGCGTATTTTAGGGCTGAGTAGAATGGCGTTTTCAAAATTGGGAAATTCCGATCAGTTCCGAAGATATTCGAAAAAAACTGAAATTAACCATATTCGTTTTTATTTTTTTATGATCCTGTTTGAAAAAAGATATCAAAAACAAATTACACTTCCTCACAAAACTTTTAAAGCTCTACAAGATAGTGCCACAGATTTTCACTGCGATGTTTCGTCTTTGCGAAACCATCATCAACTTCATATTTTTATATGGACTGGAAGAAAGGTACATACTGTATTGAGTAGGAGTTTTTTTCGAATCGAACGATGTATGGCAGAATGATTCTTTATTACGTCAGTTAAAGGAACGATTAATGAATTAGTTTGACATGTTGTCAACGCCTATAAGCTCCCGAATTCAAAAAGAAAGAATATTGTAGTAGTCTCGGACGGACGGACAGAAAGTGGCGCACTACCCAACTGCGTTGAAAAATGTGGTAAAAATTGTTTATTATTTAAATCAGAAAAAAGACTTATTATTAATTTTTAACATTGTGGTGTAGTAAACGTTAACAAAATGACAAAATAATTCATTGATGGTTTCTTTAAAGACATACCTAATAAAGAATCATATTGTGCCATAGGTACACCGTTATGTTAGTAATGTAAATTTATAACATAACTCAAGCGCGTCGATGTTGGAACAGAACTCGAAACACAATACGATTTGCTTACATAGCAAACAATACTCTTTCTAGAATGTTCTCGAACAAACACGTCATGTTTCTAGGAAAGATTACGTCACATCCGCCTTGGTTCGTTATCGCACATGACTAATCTTTTGTGGCGCCTCGATGTCTATCTGGATTTATGGAATATTCGTTCTATATGAAAATAGGAAAAAACTTCTGTAATTTTTGGTCGGGCAACAAAATGATCAGAATTTATGAAATTCGCTGGGTCCATTACGTTCGTGTAGCCACGATATAACTTGCATGCAGGTATGTAAAAAGATAGTTGATACTCAGTTTTTGCATATTGTAATTCTTTGAGGATCCACAACGGCGGTTGTTAAAGAATGTTTCAGTGACCCATCAAAAAATTGTCAATTGAACTTATGGAATTGTAACATAATTTAATGAAACGCGAATAAATGCTAAACTTTTGTTAATTATTTTGTGTTTTTATCGATATTATTTAAAAAATAAATATAAATGAATTCGTGTAAGGCTTGTTTAATTTGGTAACTATAAAAGATATCTAAAATACAGAAAAATTATTTTTAGTTTGATTGTAATTGTGATATCATTTTTATTTTCGCAAAAAATATGTTTATATGAATCAGAATTGCAGAACAGTAATAGTGATAGCCTTCTACTAAAATTTCATGTTCAAAGGTAATAGTGATCGATGAAAATTGTCGGCGCCTGTCCGTCAATGCACGATGCCATTTTTGGAACACAGGTCGGTAACCTTATTATTACTTTATGGAAAGCACCAACAATTAAAATTTCAAAAAAATGAGCCCGCGTGGGCATGTTCAAACCGAAAGATCAAATTTCCTGCTCAAAGGGGTTGATTAGGGATCTACAAAGGTAAGTTCCATTGTACAGATACTGCACAAGAAAGAAAGCCATCTGCTCTGAGAATCGCATAAAGCAGGGTAGGCAGGTAGGTCTTCAGCATCAAAGCCACACACCAAGCCCATATTTAGATGATGAAATCTTTACTTGTGTAGCTGTATGTAAGCAAGCAGGCCTTGACCAAATCCGTCAATTTAATTTATAAAGTGACACTATGCGAATTGAATTGACGGATTTTGTCAAAGCTTGCGATAGAGTAATTTTTAAGTAGAGATAGAAGGTAGGTATTCGGCCAATCTGACTTGCTGCGTTTGTTTGGGGAGATGAGATCTCGGCACTGGAAAGTCGTAAAAAGCTAGTTGGTTTCATTTTATAAATATTTCCGTTATTAAAGGATAATAATATACCTAATATTTATTTCTCAACTGTTTTATATGACGTACATTTACAAACATAAACAAAAATTAATATAAGGAAACAGCCAATATTAATAAGGCGTACCTAGAGTGAAAAATGTACTTCAAGAAATGCCATGAGGGTTACACCGCGTTGAATTCCTGGGCACCATCTCTCCGGGAATCAAAATTGTGACTGGCTAAAAATATACTACATTCAAAACTGTATAGGTACTCCAAACGCAATTCAAAATAAACAAATGGAAGGGAAGCAGCCCATATAGTACCTAATCATAGGTGGAGATTTTAACATAGACCTCGCTGGGTACTCTGACCTAAAATTAGTTTCCTGAACCAGAACCTCATGAAGTCATATAATCTGGTACAAACAGCTCTTCAGCAACTATAGATAATATCTTCATAAGCTGTGAAATATATAAGATTATTACGGTCAATATTCCAGTCTTAAAAGTGGAAGGCAAGTTGACCGAGGACCCGCAGACTATAGCTGAGTGTATTTCATAAAGGCAGCGTCTGAAGTATCTGGTAGAATTCCATATTCTGAATGTATAGGGCGGAGCATATGCAATTCAATCCTAATAGTCAAGTCAAGAAATTGACGCAGTCATCTCCAAACTGAAGGATACCACATCCTAGGGCACTGACGGTTGTCCTGCTCCCTGCTCTATTAAAAGAGTCGATCAATAACTTTATTTGGTAAATAAATCACTTATGAATGGTCACTTTCCAGCGGTACTTAAAACGGCTGCTGTTGCCTCTATTTTAAAAAAAAGGAGATCCTCGGCTTGTGTCAAACTATAGGCCGATTTCATTGCTCTCTGTATTGTCCAAGATACTAGAAATGCTTACACAAAATACAACATTATTACATGGAACCAAACATGCTTTCACCAAAAACAAGTCCACCATTAGGAGTTTCTACAACAGTCTCCTGAAAATGCTTGAAAATAAAGAAAAATCCCCTTGCGATCTGAGCCGTGTCTTTGACTGTGTTCGTTGTACATAAACTGATGCATATGTGTATGGAATTAGGGGTATTGCTCAAGAATGGTGTGTAAATCCTATCTAGATGAACGCACTCAACTGGTACGACTTACTTCTGGTCTGATGGACACTTCAAGTGCGCAAGAAGACTATGCTGAAGTCCAGTCTAGGCTACAGTATGGTATAGATACCTCTGCTATGGAGTACCTCAAACTATGCAAGATGTGTCTTTTTATGGCCAAAAACAAATCATAAGATCCTTAGGTGGGTGCCAAAAGTGGGGTGTCCTGCAAACCATTACTTCAAGAACTATGCATACTGGCATTACTAGGGAATGCAATCCCGCAGCAAAATCTCAATCCCGGTATTTGCGGGATCGTTAGATGTTAATCTTGCGGGATCCCGGTATCAATAAACTTAAAGAATTAAGTGTTTCAATTATATTTTAATTGTGAATTGTAAAGAATTGGGGTTGTAAGTACATCATTTCAAATGAATAATTTTTAATTTCAATTCCATTTTCATATGAATTTGTCTACAAGTTGTATCAGCAGGACGTTTTTGCAAATGTGCATTACCTACCAATCAAACTAGTTGCTCATTGAACAAAATTTTATTAAAAACCACACACTACAATTAATATTAAGCATATATGCAGTATTTCTCAACAAACTTTGTGTCCATTTACTAAGAATTGAGGCCATTTTTAAACCTTTTGTGAAAATACTTATTACTAACAGTAGTGACTTAATCATACAGGCCTGTCTTCGGTCTTCCTATATAAAATTTACAACTCAATGACATCAAATTTATATCTAAGGAAATAAATACATCTCTAAAAAAGCTTAAGCAGAACTGCGGATAAACAAACAAGAATCGTTTAACAAATTGATACTACAAAATGGACTAATGTTCGTTTGCTTCTTGTGATGAAGGGGATGTCCTTCTGATTACTGAATTCTGCTACGGATTTTTTTTGGAACATCCAGTATGACGAGTTGCCTAAACACCAGGGTACACATTCCAAAACGCGGACCAAAGACCAAAGTATAGAGGCACCTCTAAAAAGCATTATGCGGGTCACTCTGTAATGGGCGCAAGCCTGTTGAGGGCCCAGAACAAGAGAGGGATAATAAATAAATAAAATAAATATATTCCAATTTTGAAGCTATTTACCCTACGTACGTCATTTCATTAACTTTAAAATGATGTAAGTAATAGAGAATTTCTATGATATGAAAATATGAATTTGAATTCATTCTTCCGCGCGTAAACCATTGATTTACCTATATATTTTAGTTATCATAAAAAATAGTTATAAATTCAATTGTTAAACGATTTCCATATTTGTTTATCCACTGTATAAGTTCACGTATGCATGCTCCATAATTATAAACAGTTCCAAGATTGGGCTACTAGTTCAAAAGTTACAGCCCTTTGAATTTTCTTTCGAAATTGGTTTCCTCTCTAGTCTATAACTTTTTATTGAGAAGTCTGATCGAAAAAGTATGAATTGTTTTGGATTCTACGCACCAAAATTAATATGAAAAAGTGTTTTCCCGAGCAATTTTGGTGCAGTCGATTTTTGGTAAAAAAGGAAGGTTTGTACACTGCCTTTTTTTGAGGCCCTCAAAAAAAATTGTCTCAGATCGACCGGGAAAAAAATTTTCTTATAGAATGTGGCCTGTAGAATCCATAATTTCAAACAGTTCCAAGATTGGGCTACTAGTTCAAAAGTTACAGCCCTTTGAATTTTCTTTCAAAATTGGTTTCTAGTCCATAACTTTTGATTGAGAAGTCCGATCGAAAAAGTACGAATTGTTTTGAATTCTACGCACCAAAATTAATAAGAAAAAGTGTTTTCCCGAGAAATTTTGGTGCAGTCGATTTTTGGTAAAAAAGGAAGGTTGTACACTGCCTTTTTTTGAGGCCCTAAAAAAAATTGTCTCAGATCGACCCGGGAAAAAATTTTCTTATAGAATGTGGCCTGTAGAATCCATAATTTCAAACAGTTCCAAGATCGGGCTACTAGTTCAAAAGTTACAGCCCTTTGAATTTTCTTTCGAAATTGGTTTCTAGTCTATAACTTTTGATTGAAAAATCTAATCGAAAAAGTACGAATTGTTTTGGATTCTACGCACCAAAATTAATAAGAAAAAGTGTTTTCCCGAGAAATTTTGGTGTAGTCGATTTTTGGTAAAAAAAAAGGAAGGTTATACACTGCCTTTTTTTGAGCCCCGAAAAAAAAATTGTCTCAGATCGACCAGGAAACAAAATTTTCTTATAGAATGTGCCCTGTAGAATCCATAATTTCAAACAGTTCAAAGATTGGGCTACTAGTTCAAAAGTTACAGCCCTTTGAATTTTCTTTCGAAATTGGTTTCTAGTCTATAACTTTTGATTGAGAAGTCTGATCGAAAAAGTACGAATTGTTTTGGATTCTACGCGCCAAAATTAATAAGAAAAAGTGTTTTCCCGAGAAATTTTGGTGCAGTCGATTTTTGGTAAAAAAGGAAGGTTGTACACTGCCTTTTTTTGAGGCCCTCAAAAAATTGTCTCAGATCGACCCGGAAAAAAATTTTTCTTATAGAATGTGGCCTGTAGAATCCATAATTTCAAACAGTTCCAAGATTGGGCGACTAGTTCAAAAGTTACAGCCCTTTGAATTTTCTTTCGAAATTGGTTTCTAGTCTATAACTTTTGATTGAGAAGTCTGATCGAAAAAGTACGAAATGTTTTGGATTCTACGCACCAAAATTAATAAGAAAAAGTGTTTTCCCGAGAAATTTTGGTGCAGTCGATTTTTGGTAAAAAGGAAGGTTATACACTGCCTTTTTTTGAAGCCCGAAGAAGAAATTGTCTCAGATCGACTCGGAAAAAAAATTTCTTATAGAATGTGGCCTGTAGAATCCATAATTTCAAACAGTTCCAAGATTGGGATACTAGATCAAAAGTGTTTTCCCGAGAAATTTTGGTGTAGTCGATTTTTGGTAAAAAATTATCAAAGTCCTCGTTTGAGATCGAAGGGACTTCAGCGCATTTTTGTGTGGCAGATCAGTATTCTATTAGCCACTTTCGATTCAACCATCAATAACAGATCTTGTCGAAGGCTACTACATTCACTAACCGCTTCCCACTTTC